CTCCCAGCAGGTTCCTCTCCCCCATCGCGATCGCACGCACCGGTATGGCATTGTCTGGCATGATGTCGTCCAAACACGGGCGTGACAACATATCTGGCAATACATTTTGCGTTCCATCCACGTGCTCAATGCTGAAGTTGAATTCCTGCAATCGGTAGGCCCATCGCGCAAGCCGTCCCCGCGGGTCTTTCGCCGTCATCAACCACGAAAGCGGTTTGTGGTCAGTGACGACCCGGAATTCATTCGCCAGTAAGTAATTTCTCCACTTCTCTAACGCCCACACGATGGCCAAGCATTCTTTCTCCGTTGTTGAATACTTCTGTTCCGCCCCCGTCAGCACTCTGCTCGCGTACTCCACCACCCCAGCCGGTTGAGACAAAACCGCACCGATGGCCACGTTGCTTGCGTCGACAGCCACAGTGAACCTCTCACCAGGATTGGGTAGCCGTAGACATGTCGGGGCTTCTGCGATGCCTGCCTTTAGATGGTCAAAGGCCTGATCCGCTTCAGCTGTCCACACGAAGGGCACGTCCTTGCGAAGCAGCTTTAACAACGGGCTGACCTTCTCTGCGAACTGGGGCACAAACTTTGAATCATATGCCACCACTCCCAAGAACGAACGGAGCTGACGCTTGGATTTTGGTTTTGCGAAGCACTTGATCGTCTCGCGTTTCTCCGGAAGTGGATGGACTTGACCATTGCCCACGATGTGACCCAAGCATACAATTGACTTTTGGGCAATCTGCGACTTTTTACGACTGAGTTTCAGACCAGCTTCATCTAGTCTCTGCAGTACTGCTCCAAGTCTGGTCACATGTTCCTGTTCCGTCTCAGAGAAGACGATGATGTCATCACCATACACAACCACGCCTTGCAGGTTCGCGAGGACCATCAGCAACAAACGCCTGAATGTAGCCGGGGCGTTGCACAATCCAAACGGCATTCTCAAAATCTCATACTGCTGGCCATTGACACTGAAAGCCGTCTTGTGGCGATCTTCTTCTGCGATCGGCAGTTGCCAATATCCCGAGCGGAGATCAATCAGTGATATCTGCTTCGCACTGTGAAGGCTTGAGAAAATTTCTTCCATCTGAGGCATCGAGAATGCATCCTTCACCGTCACCCTGTTTAGTTCTCTGAAATCGATGCAAAATCGATAGGTTCCGTGGGCCTTCTTCGTCAATAGCACGGGTGATGAATACGGGCTGTGCGTTCGCCTGATGATTCCTTTCGATTCCATCTCGGTCACCTGCTTCTGTATCTCAACCAGGGTGTTCTGTGGAATTCGTCTGAAGATTGGTTTGCATTGTCCTCCTGGGATCAACGGTATTCGGTGTTCAACCCAATTGCAAAATCCGTAATCATCTTCCGCGTCTGTGAATAAGTGGGCATACCTGCTCAGTACGTTGCGTATTGCACGGTTCTGACAATCAGGCACGGCTTTGAGGGCACCAACCCGGTCAGTTCTCCCCTTGTTTATCTCGATCGTCTCGTTAGCCACGATCACCACATCGTTTTTCAGGTCAATTGTGACACCGAGCCGTTTCAGGATGTCGGTTCCGATGATGGTTTCGGTCGTCTCCTCCACGATGAACATGTCATGGCTGATGAGCGTTTCTCCTATCCTGATTCGTAACCGCTGCGTGCCCGTCACTTTCAAAGAATGCCCGCCGACCGTCTGCATCGTGATTGAAGATGGGTTTACTGGAACCCCATTGAACCTCTTCGTAATTGACACTGCCGCTCCTGTGTCTACTACGGCTCGGACAGACACACCTTCTATAGTTACCTGGAGGAGTGGTACTCGCCACCGACTCGGCATGGATAGAGAGAAACAATGGGGCACATTGACGTTGGTGCAGAATCTCGCCACATGACCATTCTGGTTGCATCGGAAACAGCGGCGACCGTTCCGGATTACCCGTACATTGCGTTGTGAAGTGGTGCTTGAAGACTCTATCGACAACAGCTGCTCCACCATTTTGGACAGGCGATTTACTTTCTGTTCCAACTCAGCATGCTGGATGCTTCTCACTGTCACTCGTTCCGACAAATTCTGGGCGACCGTCACCAGATCCAACGCTTTACTATCTCCCACCAGCGACGCCAATTTCACCTGATCATAAAGTGGACCGGGCAGACTTCGGATAAACTGCTGTTTCAGTAGGCGCTCTCTTGCGTTGCCCTCTAACTCGGGGAGCCCAATCGTTAGATGTCTGTCCAGCTGCTGGAAAAACACCATCAAATCCTCCTGTTCGTCCCATCTGGCTGCGTGAAATCGTTGCAGTGCTCGTTCTCTCCAGATCCTTCCCAAATTCTGCACACAAGGCAGCCCTCATCTCAGCGAACGAACAACCGGGTTTGGCCTTTCGAGTGAGCAAATACACCGCCTTGGCTCGTCCACTCAACCGTGTGCCCAAAGCAATTAGCAAATTTGCATCCTCCCTCACACCCGTGCAAGCCGCAATTCCGTCGAATTCATCGAGCCACGCCTCCACGTCACCGGCCGCAAATTGCTCCAACCGGGTCAACTCCATCGCGATTGGTCACGGCACCAGTGTAGCGAGAACGACAAGACAGGGGGGTAGACGTTTATTGCACACCGAAAATGGGCACATCCGGGTCTCGCGCGCGCCATCGAATATCGACTAGATTTCCGTCCCACCACGCAACACAGGTACGGATGTTGGAGACGAGCCAGTCCTTTCGCCTCGGGAGCTCTGACTTGGAAGATCCGCCTTCCTGTTTTCGCCTCGATCTCCGCTTCTCTGCACTCGATTTGGATCGGCCAGGAGTCGTTCGAGAGCTCTCGACTTGCTTGTTCTGGGCTGTGTCAATCGGCTCGGCCTCGGTCCTGTGGGCTGCGCTAGCGGCGTATTTGTCTGGTTTATTGCGCTGTCCACATATTCCCGCTCCGTAGTTCCGGGCCCAGGCTCGTCGCTAGCCGTCTTTCGCGATCCGCTCTCAGCTAGCTCCGAAGAGCTCCCCAGAGTCATTCTTGGAAGCGGCCCCTCTACACCATGACTTCGAAGCTGGCTTCGGTTGGAACGTCTCAACTCCATGGTTGGGGTCCGAAAGACGACGAACACCTTTGGTTGGATACACTTGCTGAGATGGCTAGGAGCCGACCTCAGTGGCGTTCGTGTTGTGAGTTTCTTTTCGCACCCCATCTATCTTAGCCTACCCCTTCAACCACGATCTCATTACTTAGCCTTATATAATTTTGCACAGTAATTTTTTGGTGCACAGCAGCCAGCTGATGGCTTACCGGAACGATGTCCTTCCGTTACTGGCAGCTCAGCCAGCTTGCACCAGTTACTTTTTTTTACAATGTATTCCGGTACCGTACCTGAGGTGTTCCCCTCCTCTAGCTAACGTGTGTGATGATGATGATGATGTTGATATGAAGCACGGATGCAAATATGACACTGTAACTAGTTTATCGTGAGGGAGGATAAATAAAAATATTCGCATTCTGAATAAACCGTACAGCATATGCAACGACGTCGTCACTGTTATTACCAGTCAGGTTCGAGTAATCGAAACGCCCATACAGTATGGAAGTGTGGTCTCTGTAAAATAGACACTAAAGCTGCAAGATAGGGGAAGTTCGGGAAAAATGAACTGCGACCATCTCTCGTGTTTAGCTGGACCAATTTTCCGTAACAAAACTCGTACAAGCCAAGACTATTCCTGGTTTACGAAATCCCTGCGGAAGAGCATTTTAAAACGGTTGCAACCCAATAAAGTTTCATGGTGCTTTTCGTATGGTTGTCGAAGGACTGCGGTCCAACTGACGAAGTGGAATGGCTGCGGCGCTTCTGCAACATTATATCAGTTGATCCAGAACACCAAACCGCTCGATACGACGCATAAATTAATGCAACAATCCTACCTCCGTCGTCAGCAAGCACCATTAGAACAACGATTTTCTGTACAGCCTTCAAGACAACAGAAGTGCAAGCAATTAATTAATATTTGCTGAATCCTTTTTGTAATTAGTATAATGCTGGTACTTCGCCACCAGGCAGCGATATTGTGTTGCTGTATACACAGTGTGTATACATACGCGAGACGTTGCCAAAAGGTCAGCGCATTTTCTGAGTATGACGGGAGACAGTCTTTCCTGACCATTAGCTTTACCGAAACACGGGTGCTTCTGTAAAATGTGCACCGTTACACTGTCGATAGGAGGCAGAGTCCTCAGACCACAGATCTTGGGCAAAAGAAAGGGCAAGGGGGTATATTCGTATCTACGTGATAGAACACCTGGGTACACCATCAATGTATTCGACGAATGCACATGATCCATCTGTACTCAACTCCCCCGGCCCGTCCGCTTTTCCCTCTCCTCCAATGTCAGCTTTGCTGAATGGTAACCACCAGCTGTCATATGTGACAGGAACCTTTCCAACGCGGCCTTACAGGTTACGTACAAATCTCGGGTACCTCATGGCTCTCAGATGTTACAAGTATATCAACAGTTGAAATGGCCTCACTGAAATTCCCTGTTTGTGAACATAAGGAAGTTCACCTTACGTGTCCTGCCAGATGACATGCCGTCATCAATCACCCGCAACCTCGCCTTCCGCTTATTCTTTGAGTTCATGGGTGCTAGGTAGTAAATGGAAATGTCTGTCTTATCTCTTCCTGTGTGCATATTAATAAATTGTGCTCCCCGCCTTCATGTTAACTAGGGAAGACAGCTGGATTGAGGGCGTTGATTACCTGTCGCAGAATTAAACGCACTAATCCATAAGGGCATCAACGAAAACGGAACTACATTTGTGCTCGTCAACGTGTTTACAGTTGCAGTTTAAAATTTGCTTTGCAAAATATGATCAGATCAGTTTCGCTTATCTACGCCCCACCCAATTGAAAATACATCTATTCTTATTTTTCTTAGTTACCGCAATATTTGATTATTCCTGCGGTATTCTTCTCTGATATACTATTGGTCCAACGTGTTCGTTACTTTTACCGTCCATCATCTTTCAAAGGATACGTTGGCCACCGCCTGTTGTTGCCAGCCTACGATTACTTGGTTCAGCGTATTCGTGAGGTCGACAATGAGACACTGATATTCTATGAGCCACTGACCTATGGGGTCTTCCTTCCTCCAAGCCTTTTTGATACTGGCACTGGGTTTGATCGGGTACCGGGTTCTCGGAACGATCCCAACGCGTCTGGCAAGAGCGTCTTGTCTTACCATTACTACTGCTGGTTACTTCAAAAGACAGATCCACGAGCTACAATGAACTTAGCACAAAAGGTCATTTGCGATTCGGTGAGTTTGGCCAGTCAGATTCCATACGCAGTGCATCATACTCGTATTTGCTGCTTTTCTTATGTCATCTGTGTGAACATCTATATGCAAATTTCAACGGCTGCCCCAACCACAAGTACGAAGTCACTTCCGCGAATACCAAGGGTTATGTAAGGTCACTCAAAAAGCACCTACTGTAGAGGTGAAAAGAAATGCTTATGCACCTTGGTTTATGGATAGATTATCTTTCCATCGCTCTAAGATACGCAATACGTTGGATTAGCAGCGCTTTCATTCCAACCGATAAGGTCAATCTCAATGCTCACTGTTCAGGCCAACGCTTAGCCAAAACTGTCAACTCGTCTACTGTACCAATGTTACATTTACCCTGACGAGCAAACTAGTTAATACTAGTAAAGGTTTCCGGGTTAGGGTTGAATTGCTCAGTAGCACAGTACAGAGAAAGAAATTCGTACCCGAGAAAGAATCATAGATAGTTTGTTTTGCTAGACGCCAAACTGCTCACTTCTCATATCTAGTCTTAGCAAGAGGGTATAACGTGGATAGAGATGTGGAAATGCATCCACGAACATGTCAGAGTTGTGTCATGATTTCGTCATCAAGTGTGAAATCCCCGAGAAGACACGTGACGATGTGATCATTCGGGGGTCTCTGAGAGGAAACCATAAATAAACAAATGAAGCGAACGTACTCCTATATTTACGGACAAACGGTGTACGGTGATCATTTGTCCACAGAAGTAGTGCCATGACTTGCGCGTCTTAAAATATAATGACCATAAAATATTTCAAAAAATTAAGATTATGGATTTTGCCCCGGTTCACTCAAAACGCAAAATAGAGCGAATAATTGTACCGGTTTTCCATTTTTCTATGTAACGAAACTCGGGAGCGTTTACAAGTGAAGTACGAAGGAGTAGGTTGCACAAGCACATCTTCAGCTTAATGAGTAATAACAAATGTAGGACTAGTTAATACTAGTCCGAGACGATGCGCGGAATTAAGCGCGGATATCAGAAGGCAATTGGAGTCGGACACAGCGGACTGTATTCGATGGGCTACAACAAGAAGCGGACGGATGAAGCGAGGCAAGAGCGTACACGTGAGCGCGGGGACTTACAAGGCAGTTGTGTGTCGAGCCGGTTGTAAGATTAAAACAAGAAGGAGTAATGTACAATCGGTCAACAAGTAAATTGTACACGAAAGATAAGAGTTATCTTTTTGGGCGCTACAGAGCTCCCCCCTAGAAGGCTGAACATAGAAAGCCTTCGAAATCGAAAAGGAATGTTGAAACGAGGTTCGTAAGGCGAAATCGTGCCGAGTAAAAATGGGCGTGCGTTCGTGTAAATGGGGGTTCGTCGGAAGTCGGAGTCCGCTGTGCCGTTTATGATTTGTTATTTATTGAATGCAGGGCAGGGTGCATTTCGGCGAGCCGTTGGAGCGGGCTTGTCGGACTACAAAAAAACTGGCTAGCCCAGAAAAAGGCCGACAGGACCTCAACCTCCGCTGCTGCCAAACGGTGCGCTTGGGAGTGGTCTCTCCCCCCGCCGCACCCCGCCCCGCGCCAAAACGACCCTCGTCCCACGAAGAAAACGACCATGGTCCCACGGAGAAGCGACCCTCGTCTCGCGGAGAAGCGATCCTCGTCCCGCGAAGAAGCGATCCTCGTCCGCGAAGAAGCGATCCTCGTCCCGCGGAGAAGCGACCAGTGTTCGCGTCAGGGTCCTCGAAAACATTCCTCGTGTGGGCCAGTCGATCGAAGGGGAGGGTTGGGGCATGTAAAGACGAGAAAATAGAAAAACACGCGCAGAAAACGCCAAAAAGAACAAACGAATGAGCTGCGTGTTTAAATATTTTTTGGTTTTTGAATATTTTTTTGAAAAAGGTTTTTCGGGGGTTTTTGATATTTTTGTTTGTTTTCAAAACGTTAATCGACCAAAAATGAGGCAAATATATACAATATCTACAAAGTTAAAAGTATTTACACTGTACATAGTCGGAGAAGCGAACGGGCTTACGTACCTCCCGACCACGGCGATTGGTCGTGGGAGGCGGCGGACTAGGTTCGGGTGATGTCGGGACTGCTGAAGCTTGCAGACCGTGATCGTGGTCTGGTTGGACTTCACTAGCATGCGGAAAATTGGTACGGTGAGTTGTGACGTCGCACGAGGCACTACTAGACGAAGTAGGCGAGGTAGTTTCTTCCATAAAGGCGGGTTTCAGACGGTCGATGGTGACGACTTCGTGTCGACCACCGCGGTCAATAGTGTACGCCTTACTCGCACGATGCAGCACCTTGAAGGGTCCTATGTACGGCGACTGAAGAGGCTGTCGAACACCGTCTGCGCGAAGAAGGACGTGTGAACAAGTAGACAGCTTCTCGGGCACGTACACTGGTGTCTTCTGCGATCGAGGAGCGGGTGGACGTAGCTCACGCATCTGGTGAGCCAATCGGTCAGTGTAACTTCCGTAGTCAAAAGTGGAAGTACATGGGGCTGGTGCTACCAGCTGTCCGGGCAACCGCAGCGTGCAACCGTAGACTAGCTGCGCTGGTGTGGCGTCGAAATCGGTTTTAACCGTGTTTCTTAAGCCTAGGAGAACGAGGGGAAGCGTTTCAGACCATGAAGGATCTGCGTGCGCACGTAGCGCTGCCTTCAACTGGCGGTGAAAACGCTCCACCATGCCGTTAGCGGCCGGATGATACGCCGTCGTCTGGACGTGGCGACAGCCTAAATCCTTAAGCAACATGGCAAATGTCGACGAGAAATGTGACCCTCGATCGGTGGTCACGATGGCGGGACAGCCGTATTGAGCTACCCAGCGCTCCATAAAAGCTTTCGCTACCGTTTCCGAGGAGCAATTTGGGATGGGGACGGCCTCAGGCCATCTAGTAAATCGATCGATGCAGGTCAGTAGATATACCGAGCCTTTGGAAGGCGGCAGAGGACCTACGAGGTCGACGTGCACGTGATGAAAACGTGCGTCTGGCGTCGGAAACGTGCCTAATGGGCTTCTCGTGTGCTTGTGCACCTTCGCGCGTTGACACGGAAGGCAAGCAGCTGCCCAGGTACGGACGTCCCGATTAACATTGCGCCAAACGAATCGTGCGGTTACGAGTTTAACCGATGCACGAACGCCTGGATGAGACAAGCCGTGCAACGCGTCGAACACGGTCTGCCGAAACTCGCGTGGGACGACTGGGCGCGGCGTGCCCAGAGATAAATCGCAGAGTATCGTTCCGTCTGATGATGTCAGCGGAACGGGTCGTATATCCAATGAGGGAGACCTGCGTAGTAGTTCAACCTCAGGATCGTTGAGTTGTGCTGTGGCCATGGCTGCCAAGTCGATAGCAGTGCCGGCGTCAGCGGAGATAGCTTGGATGCGAGAAAGTGCATCGGCGACGGCGTTGTGCACACCTGAGACATGCCGTATATCGGTCGTAAACTGAGCGATATAGTCAAGGTGGCGCGACTCTCTAGGAGAGTATCGGTCGGTAGTCGAGCCGAGCACGTAAGTCAGGGGTTTGTGGTCGGTGAAGACGACAAAGGAGCGGCCTTCTAGGATGTGTCGAAAGTGACGTATCGCTAGATATACGGCTAGTAGTTCCCTACCGAACGTGCTGTAGCGAGATTCGGTAGGTTGTAGGCGTTTGGAGAAAAACGCTAAGGGTTGCCACGTGTCGGCTACGCGTTGCTGTAAAACAGCGCCGACTGCCACGTCCGAGGCGTCAGTACTGAGGGACAGTGGGGCGGCCGGATCGTGATGCGCTATAGAAGCTATGTTGGCGATAGCCTCTTTCAGCGACTTAAAAGCAGCGCGTGCTGCGGCAGGGAATTCGAACTTCTTGAGTTTCCCTCGGAGAAGGTCCGTGAGGGGTTGCATCAGCGAGGCGCAGTTGGGTATAAATCGTCGGTAAAAGTTAACAAGGCCATCAAAACGCCTGAGCTGTTTGAAAGAATGAGGCTCGGGGTAGTCGATGATGGCTTGAATTTTATCCTGCAGTGGCACGACGCCTGCAGAAGAGATACGATGGCCCAGGAAATTGACTGAATCGACACCAAACGAACACTTTTCTGCGTTGATCGTCACCCCGTGTTGAGATAAACGATCAAAAAGTGTTCGCACGTGGCGTATGTGCTCTTCTCGTGAAGAGCTCGCGATTAAAATGTCGTCAAGATACGCGTAAGCGAAGTCTAAACCGCGACAAACTTGGTCGATGAAACGCTGAAAAGTTTGCGCGGCGTTCTTTAGGCCAAATGGCATGCGCAGAAACTCGAACAAACCAAATGGAGTCGTCACGGCAGTTTTAGCGATGTCCGCTTCGGCTACCGGAATTTGGTTGTATGCGCGTACCAAGTCGACTTTGCTGAAGATATTTTTACCCGCCAGACTGGCGGTGAGATCCACTATGTGTGGGATCGGATAGCGATCAGGCGTGGTTACCGTATTCAAGGATCGATAGTCGCCGCAAGGACGCCAGTCCCCCACAACCTTCTTCGGGACCATGTGCAGAGGCGACGCCCATGGGCTGTTGGACGGTCTGACGATACCAAGTTGAAGCATGTGGTCAAATTCGGCTCGTGCTGCCCGTAGTTTGTCTGGAGCAAGCCGTCTTGGTCGTGCGCTAACTGGTTGACCGCGCGTAACTATGTGGTGAGCGACCTCTGTCGTGACTGGTGGAAGCTCTGCAGCCGGTCGAACCAGTCGCGGGTATTCGGAGAGGAGGCTCAAGTAGTCGGACGGTGCGTCTGCGATCCGAAATACAGGGCTGATTATCGGGGCATCTGAAAGGACACCATCAACACCTAGTTTCGTACGGTCGTCTAAAAGTCTGTGGCGACCAGCATCAACAAGCAACCCAAAATGTCGGAGGAAGTCGATACCGATAATTGCGAAGGGTACAGACGCAACCATGAAGACCCACTGAAAATCTCGGCGAAGATTGAGGTCTAGGTTCATCATGCGCTGACCGAATGAAGCTATCGGAGAACCGTTGGCCGC